GGCCGTCTCCCACGGTCCCTCTCTCTCATTATTGTCGACCACATTTGATACACTACTTAGATACGGATCGCGCAGTCCATTCTCTTATGTCTTTGGTGCATTCAGCAGACTCAACAGTTAAGTGAGCGCTCGCTGTTATTGGTGTATTCTTTTAGATCATCCAATCAGAATCCTAGATCTAGAAGAATACATCAATAGCATCGAGCGCCACTCAACTATTGAGTTTGCTGGATGCATCCATGACAGAAGAGGAATTCTCGTATTGGATATAGGACACCGTGGACGGTGTCACATGCACCAGGCAGTCCAAGATAGTCTCGTTTCCGTCAGACTTCGAGGCTTTGTGTTTTTTTGTCGCTTGGAGCGGATCTCACGATTCGGCTGGTGATACGATCCAATACGCGACTTCGAGAGATCCGTCTCGTCCGGCTGTTATCGATTAATGCAAGAAGAAGCTTTTATTATTCGCCTCATCAAAGAATTTCTCCGATTCGTGCAGCCGTATATGTCATGGGATACCGAGAAACGGAGTCTGTTGCTACGCTAGCTTTGTGACTCATCGCGTGATCGACCCACTTGTCATTCTGTGTTGACAAGTGCATATCAGTGCGTACATACGTGTGACAGAAGTGGGATTGCACACTTAAGAAACAGCGATTGTTGACGCGACGTATTTTTCGATTGCGAGCCTCATTATTCGCATCGCGTCATCAGCTTCATCGCAGAGAAACGCCGAGGAGTGACTGTTACATTTACGATAATTGGTTAGTTCTATCTAACGTTATTCACGAAAATTATCCAGAGAAAGACTCGAGAACTATAATTTTGATGTATTAAATATAATGTACGCATTGCGAAAATATCTATATAATATCGTATAAGTAATATTGAATTTGTATAATTTAGCTAATAACGTCACTGACAGCTTAAAGATGGATGCCGGATTCTCATCGTACCATAACGGTGGTCCTGCGCGAGAACAGGACTTTGGCAGGTTATCCCAATCAATTGGCACTTCGATATTGAAGATATCACAAAATGGTAGGTTCTGCAATTAACAAGTTTGGTTTAAAAAAATACGAGATACTTATTTCGATGGTTTGCTCGCAGTGTCTTCCATGCAGAAAATGGTCAATCAGCTGGGCAGTTCCACCGATTCTCAAGAACTCAGGAATCAGCTGTAAGTTATAAGAAGTATACGAATGTCCTTTTTCATCAAAAACTCTGTTTTTTATTCTGCATTGTATGAACTGGTACACATGGTGCAATAAATTGAAATAAAATAAACATACGTTTGTCTTATTTCAACTTATTGCATGGTGTGCACCAGTTCAGAAGGAATAAGCAACAGACATGTAGATTAATCTCAGTTCAACTTACTCTTCATCATTTTCCAGTTCTAAAAATTAGAAAAAGATGAGTGAGTTGAATGGAGATTAAAGTTAATCTACATTAGTAAAAACAGACATGACAAGATTTAATTTAATTTTGCCTCTTTAGTCGCTGATTTAGGATTCACCATCTCAGATCAACTTGATCTATCCATTATTCCACTGGAATTTACTAACCTAGAGTTTCATCACTGTTAAGATTAACTTTAATCTCTGTTCATCCTTTATCTTTATAATTTTAAGAAAGATGTAATTCTAAGAAAAATATAAGATTAATTTTAATCTTGGTTTTTAACTTACTATTTATCTTTTTCTAATTCTTAATTTTACGTTGGTGGAACCGGGCCTCTTAGCATTTGCGGTTAAGCAGAATTGACCATCATCATATAACACATAATTGACTGATCAAGCTGACTAGAGATGGTAAAACTTACTGACACTGATTTAATCGCCAATTTACTCTTCATTATTTTTCAGTTCTAAAAATTAGAAAAAGATGAGTGAGTTGAATCGAGATTAAAATTACATATAAAATATTAGATTGATAATGAGGAATAACCTCATTATTAAATTAAATCTTAGTATATCTGAATAAACGGAGATAAGAAATTATTGTTTTGCAGGCATCAGATACAGCACTATACACAACAACTGGCGAAGGATACTAGCGTTCATCTTCGAGACTTGGCTATATTAGCGAATAACTCTGGCTCTACGAGCCCTGGAGAACAAAGACAGCGGAAAATGCAGAGGGAACGCCTTCAAGATGAATTTACCACTGCATTGAATTCTTTTCAAGTAAATATATTAATATGAATATATTTTGATATAGAGAAAACAAAGCCTTAAACGGTCTAGCAGGATCTTAATGCTTGTATGATTCTTATGTGAATTTATATACTACGTATGTAGTTTCACAGAAACGCGCGCCAAAAAATTTTCGGTCTTAAAACGCTAACTCTACTAAACTACCGCAGTAATATCACGAGTTAAATTGACTAGCAATTTAACAAATTTTTGATGCTTATTCGCATCTTCGAAACGATCTTAATAATGATGAATAACATATTAAAATCTGTAAATAATTAATTCTTATTGCGAAAAATATTACCTCGGCCGGGAGTCGAACCCGGATCTCTTGCATACCGTGCGAGCGTCCTAAGCCTTTAGACTACCAAGGCCTTAGTAATATTCTTTGCAATAATTGGCATATAAAGGAACAACGTCTCTTTAGGCGACGTAAATAAATAATAAATAAAGACCGAAAATTTTTCGACGCGCGTTTCTGTGGGACTACATACGTAGTATATAAATTCACATAAGAATCATACAAGCATTAAGATCCAGCTAGACTGTTTAAGGCTTTGTTTTCTATAGTTTGTGTTATCACATGTACGGTCCTATAATACAATATTATATTATATATTTTGATATGTTACTAATAGTTTACATGTTCATAAATCCAAGCTGTATTATATGTTCTTGAATCTAGGCTGTACAAAGGCTAGCTGCTTCTAAGGAGAAAGAAATGATCAGGAAAGCTAAAGCTAGTGCAGGTATTGCGCCGTTTGGAGAAAAGAAGCAGGATACTCTTATTGAGTTGCAAGACAGTAGAACATATGGAAGTGATCATGCAAAACAGCAGCAGGAACAGATGCAAGAACAGATGAATTTACGAATGTTAGAGGAACAGGAAGCTAGTATAAGGCAATTGGAGGTAAGTGCTTTCAAGATTGTCAAAAAGATTTATATGGGAATACATTTTATATGTATGTTCATCGTTTTGCAGAGTAACATTAGCGATATTAACCAAATATTCAAAGATCTTGGAGCTTTGGTATATGATCAAGGAGAGGTGATTGATTCTATAGAAGCATCAGTTGAAAGAACCGAGGTATCTGTTAACGAAGGCGCTTCTCAAGTAAGGCAAGCGAGTATGTATCAGACTAAGCTACGCAAGAAGAAGTGTTTTCTTGTAGTGATCGCAGTAGTCATAGTGGCGATTTTGATTGGTATTATAGTTTGGCAAAGCAAGTAAAAGAAAAATAAAATAAAATTACACATATTTATGTGACAGTGTACAACATGATGGTACATGTAGTGCTATACAAGATTGCTGTCTGTAAACAGTGACAGAATCGCAGATTGGGTAAAATTCGTAGTGACTTTTCTGTCCAATCTTAATTATTATTTTAAAACCACGTAAATGATAGTATTGTCATAGAAATGCAGGAAAGTGAAGAAATATCTTGCGAATTTGATCCGTTTAATTGTGATAATTGTTGGTGCGAGCTCTAATTTGCAAGTAAAGTTTTAATGGCATGTCTAAGGTTGCCGCAGTCCATTTGTACGTTTCAATACTCATAAACTACCAATGTATAATGATTAACAATATATATAATATATACGCGCGTATGATAATTTAGGTAACTTAACTATAGATAACAAATTAACATAACTATAGATAACAAAGCTAGATATGTATGCGTGTGGTTGTGAGAAATGCTTGTATGTGGTAAAATAAGTAACAAAGTATGCTTGTTATTTTAATGCAACTGTATGTGCCTGTAAAATATCTTAAGATCTATTCCTAACAGACTCAAGGCGAGATGTCTGAGAGCATTATAGTACTTTAAAAACGCATTACAATAATTCATATAAGTTAATGTATTATATTTAGTTTATATATAGGGATGTTGATTTTTGTTTTAAAATATAATAAATAATATGTATATACAAAAAGACTGGTAAGAGCAAGTTCTAATTATTCTTACCATACAAATCTTATAATAAACAATTAATAAAACAAAATTAACGCTTTTAGTCGAGTAGCTTATGTATATATATGTCTACATTAAGAGAATTTAATATCAATAAATATATAAACTATATAATTTTATAAAAAAATATTTATTTATATAAACTTTCAAATTATTAACAAAATTTATATAAATATTGTAAATGATAAAACAAGTATATTTATATATTAGCGTACATTTTCTTAAAGCCAACTTTCTAAATACATATATATATATATTTATGTAATGTATCCACTAAAAAATTTTGTATATTATATATAAATGTATATGCTTCAAGAATCAATACTTCGAGTTCGACCTCTTCCAATAAACGAGGAAGTTCTAAAATCCACAATAATATGAAATGGTATAATATAATTATTGATACTTATCCAAATTATCTTTCACTTAATATTAATACGTAATATTTTATAAAATAAAAAAACAGTGCTATATTTAGGAACAATGCAATTAAAAGAGAAGATTATGATGCATTTGTGCGTTACTTGTCGCAATGAGTTTCAAAGATCTTGCTGAAAATCGGCTGTATCTGTTCCAGCATATCCGAAGTCAACATTGCCCTCTGTTTTATTTTAAAGGCTGACGCGTTGGATTCTCGAATTAATCTTGATGCGGCGTAACACGCTACTATTGAAGGAGACAAGGCACATTCGCTAGTTCCTGCAGAGATAGCCCACCACCAAAATACTCCTAATGAACCAGATAAGAGATCTCCCTGTCCACCACATCTCCTTCCAGAACCAGCCAATGCACACGATACAGTCTCGGTGCCTTTGTGACCATCTACAATCACATCCTTTGCTCCCTTATGTAAAATTATGACATTTTTCCCAAGAGTTTCTGCTACGTGCTTCACGTCGGAAACTTTAACTACAGGAGTAGGTGGGACAGTCCTGTCCAGTACTGCTTTGATCAAACGACTAAACTCCATTGCGTTAGGTGTTAGGATAACTCCAGGATAATCCTTTATGATTTCCGGCTTCTGACAGACCAGGAACAAACCGTCAGCGTCGATAATCAGAGGCTTCCTTGTCTCTCGACAGATCGTTATCAATTCAACGATTGTTTTGAATATCTTCTCATCTCTGCCAAGTCCAGGTCCAATCAAAATAACATGCAGACGATCAAGCCAGGGTTTTATTTGTTTTATCGCATCCTGATGGTCCAGAACTGGATGAACTATCGGCTCTGGACTGAATGACTTGATAGGAATGCTAGCATCCTTTACGCAAAATACATGAACAAGATCAGCGCCGGTTCTTAGCGCACTCATGGCTGCAAAATACGGTGCTCCTGTGTATTCGGTGCTACCACCAAAGATTCCAATTCTGCCGTCTTGACCCTTGTACTTGGTATTGATCAAACTTGGTACTACCTTCCGTATTCCCTTCAACATACGTTCATCCATAGATGATGATGCAGACATCGTGGACATTGATACAAATCTGATGTATTGCCTGTAGATAAAATTACAGATAACAAGTGCCATTTTTGAGGCAAGGAAAAATAGCTCTTAAAGTATACGAATACACATCATTCGAAAACTAATCACAAACCTTTTACAAGAAAAAAAACTATGAAAGATTCACAAATCAAGTTATCTATATTATTCAAATTTTTACTCGTCTTTACCTATAATAACTGACAAAATTATTTTCTAATCTCTTCGAACAATGAAAGATGTCAAACAAGAAGCACAAATGTCACAAAACGAAACTGCTTATTATTCTTATATTATTACAATGGGTTTACAATAGATCTGTCAGAATAATCTGTTCTAATCAACTATTGATACTAAAATTTACAAATTCCGTTACAAAAGAGGGAATCGTAAATAATATTGTGAGTCACAAATGTAACTAGGAACGATATTGAGTCAACATATCTTTGTTCTGTTCATCGGCCAATTAACATACAGATTTATTTCATTTACTAAAAAGTTGACGAGTCAGATACGAAAATGCCGCGTCGACACAACCTCAAAATACAATAAGTTTCGCACGCGTAGTACTTTTATTATAATACTTATTATAAAATATGTTACGTTATTATATATACAGTATATTATAACAACAATATTCTTTAAATTTAAATGTAATGTACAAAATAACGCTGGAAAAGTTGCAACCGATGGATAAAGAATACAATTTTTCTCGTTGGATTAAATATTTACGAGCTTTGTTGTAACTGATTTTATTATAAATCGAAGCAAATCAGATGATAAAAGATTTGCTTTTGCATTTTCGTCCGCATGATCTCAACTACTTCGCAAGAAGAAAGGGAACGATAATGAAGGAACAATGCTCCTTAAAAAGCGAAATAACCGAGAATTTTCATAATTTTCTTTTTCCGTTTCTCCTAAAATAAAAGGTTAAGTCAGCTTAAGCCTGGATTGAGAATGAAGACTCGTAAATGAGAGATCAGACTTCGACCAATCAAATGACGCCGATTTCAATATGCTTCGTCCCGATTGGTCGTACCTTTAATTCTCACAAAGTAGCGCCGCTGATACGGGCTTAAACCTTTTCTGTCCTCTGTCGAGCACGTTATTCTAGCTGCATCCTGGTAGAAACCAACGGGGCAGATATTTCTCAGGAAGGATGAGTCTTGGCAAAGTATGTTCTTTTGAGAATTTAATTTTAAGTTAATATAGTTTTGGAACTTTAAGGAATGTGTAAAATATTTATGATAAGTGCTTTTTTAAGCTTTGGAATATATGACAAATTTTCTTCTTGAAATCGCACATGTCGTGCAATTATGGTGGGATTCTGTCAAATTTCGTGTTTTTTATAGATACAAATTAATTTTTCGATCTTAAAATCTTTCCAGATGTTGACGACGAATGCGAAGATAATTAAGGGTAACGGGGCCGAGCCCGACCAGTTCGAGGTTAGCGTTTCCCAAGCCCTCCTCGAATTGGAGATGAACAGCGATTTAAAGTCGCAGTTGAGGGAACTCTACATCACGAAAGCTAAAGAAATTGAAACGAATAATAAAAAGGTGAAATCTCGTTTCTTGCAATCTGCTTGTTATCTGAATCCACTCTTCAATATGTTTTAACAATTTTTTGTTTATTTAAGACTTAAAATCTATTCTACAATATACTTTTGTTTTTTGTTTTCTGCTTTTTGCTATTTTTTATTACATCTTGTCTTTTTCTTATCCGGTTTTTATTTTATATCACTTGAAATAAAAGTTTATGAACTTCAAAAGAAACAAGAAATACATAGCAAGAAATACAATTATCGAGAAAATGGTTCCAAAGGAGAAAAAAGCAAAAGGTAAAAAACAAAAAACAGGAAATAAAGAGCACTTCATAGAATAAGCTTTAACAGTCAAGTTTGTGTTATTTTTTATTTTCAATTAAAATATGAGTTCTTAAGTGGATTACTGTTTATCATATTCTTTTATTTGTGATCTTCAACCAATCAACTTATAAAAATAAGTATTCATGAAATATGTTGGTCAGGATTGAGAATTCAAAATTCAGGATTACGAATGATTGTTTTCATATAGAACCACATTTTTCTTATGTTAAAATTATTTTTTTAATGATTACATACTTGCAACTATATGCAAATTAATTAATTTTAGTAAAGCATTTACACTCTAACATCTTTTTGTATATAATATTCCTTCAAGAAACTATTTTGAGACAAAGCTCTGTTTTCTTACAGTCTATTATTATATATGTACCTATGCCGAAGCTGAAAGCATTCCAGAAAATTCAGACACGGCTGGTACGTGAGCTAGAGAAAAAGTTCTCTGGGAAGCATGTGATGTTCATCGGCGAGCGTAAAATCTTGCCCAAGCCGACGAGAAAAACGCGAACCAAGAACAAGCAGAAACGTCCTAGAAGGTAAGAAAGTAAAAAAAAACTAGATGAAAATATAAGTTATTTTTAGTAAAATTAGAAGTCTTTTTAATTGAACTATTATATGGTCCATGTTTTCTCTCTTTTTTTTTCATTAGAGAGAAAAAAAGAGGAGAAATTTTGCAAGAAGTTTGACTTCTTGCAAAAAGACATACTTCAGTTGAATAAAACAATTATATTTATATGGCATTATAATGGAATTGTCAATATATGATATTGTACATAACTGTGCGATTAATGTTCTATGATATTTTCTTTCAGCCGTACGCTAACTTCGGTTTATGATGCGATATTGGAGGATTTAGTATATCCCGTAGAAATCGTTGGTAAGCGTATCAGAGTCAAACTCGATGGATCACAGCTTATTAAAGTTCATCTCGATAAAAACGAACAGACAAATATCGAGCATAAGGTAATCATTTATTCTCCTTTATTTTACACAAAATATTAGTTCTATCGTTTGACAATAAATTGTTACATACTTTGATATATCATTAAACAGGTCGACACCTTCGCTTCAGTTTACAAGCAGCTGACTGGACGGGACGTCACGTTTGAATTCCCCGAATCTTATGTATGATAAATGTAAAAAAAATTAAAAGTATTTTAATCTAAGTACATTCTCATTTGTATCTCTTTTTATGTCTGCCGTTATTACTTAATATGTTAGTTTTATTGGATTAATATATATATAGAAATATATTTGTAAAAGAGAGAGGAGGAGACTCTCACAATGATACAAGCATAGAAGATAGGAGAAAGCAAGAAACTACTAAAATTTACTTACGGAAAAATCAAGTTAAATGTGTACTGCTGTGATATAGCATTCTTCGTTTACATTGGTCAATTAATTTCCAGCTTTATGCAATTTAAATAACATTTAAATAAATCCAAATTTGTTAGAAAATAATTAGATAAGATGATAAGATGATTAAAATTGTTTTATCAACAATCTAAAAAATTATTTGTAAAGTTTGTAAAAAAGCAAAGAGAAAGAAGAAACACATGGTGTAAAATACAGTAAGCGCGAACAGATCTTTCATAACAAATACGTCGGTAATAGTCGATTAGTCGGTAATGCCGGCATGACAATTCATGACAATTCCAGCAACATGGCGTTCACGCTGTGGACACTCTTTGAAGCAATTCTGTTATGTTTGAATGCGGTCTGTGTTCTGAACGAGGAAAGATTTCTCGCGAAAGGTGATAGTTAAGCACGCATTCATTATATTTATTTATTTAAATTAACTTATAATTGTACATCTTTTTAACGTAAAAAAAGATTAACATTATAGGTTATAATTTTCAATTTTGAAGAATAAAGTTACTCTTTTCCAAATTTATTATGTTTATTATCAGTCAGGGATTAGTAAAAAAATTATTACAGTTTATTAGTTATTATGTTTTATAAAATATTATGCTATTACAGTTTATAAATTATTACACTTTTATTTTACAGTCGGTTGGGCGTCATGGCAAAACGTACAAGGATTTGGAGAACCCCCGACAGCTAAGTCGCAAACATTAAATCTCATCAAATCCATACGAACTGTGATGAGGGGTAATTATAATGAAAGACTTATGCCTATTTAACGTTTTGATTCTTGTACAACTTTTTTATGTGATATATTAATTTTCAGTTCCTCTGATATTCTTCAATATCTTGACATTAGTTGTAAAGCTCGTACTTGGTTGAAAAAGAAGAGACGTAGGACAGGAATGTGCGAATGGAATGTGCTGTGTGCAAGTCTACTTGTTGAAAATAATGTGTGTATACAAAAGAATCATTAAATTATATTATTTTTACTTTTATGGTCAATCTTGTATATAATTTAAGTCATATGTCAGTTTGCAAAAATTTGATTGAGCAGGATTTTCTGTATAAAATAAGCAATGTATAATATATGTATTTTTTTACATTTTAGATTAATTATTATAACACAATATTCTGTCTAAGCATAAAGGCCCAATTCAAGTGTTACATTTTATTTGAGATTTTTATATCTAAAACTGAGAGTACAATTATTCTTATATAGTACAAATTATTTTTATCAGAGTATCAAAATGTTTTAAATTAAAACGTTCTTTTTTATTGGATATCGACTGTGCATATACGATTTTAAATTCGAATATCGATATTATCTGTTGATTCACGAGAGGCTGCTAGTGTCAGCAAATTTGAAATCTGCATCATACTGCGGTGATGACTCCGTTCAAGAGTGTATCCTAAAGTACACTAAAAGACTTTAAGGATTGCTCGCACAAATTTAAGACTAAAACCTCATATGACGATTTGTTGGCTTAATTTCAAAGATACAAGGTGTCAAAGTTGGAAAAAAATTCATTTTTTCCAAAAGAAATTTGGCGATAATAGGACAATAGGAGTCAGATGCAGTAGTCATTGCGCAAATAATATATACAGATATAACAAAACTCTTTATTAAAATAATGCGCTTACATGTTTCGGCTCATTTTTGAGCCCTCTTCAGAGACAAATCACCCTTATAAATAAATACAATATATACATAATAACAATAATGGTCCATATTCAGAACGCGCTTACAACGATTTTAGCGCACTACATGTTATAGGCCCGTATTCAGAACGCGCTTACAACGATGGGTGCTTTCCAGCAAGGACACAATCAAACACAGTGTAACACAAGGTGCTTTCCAGCAAGGGACACAGTCAGACACAGTGTAACACAGTGAATCATACGTCCTTGTTGTTTGCTTACGTTAAATAAGGATGAAATGATTCACTGTGTTACACTGTGTTTGATTGTGTCCTTGCTGGAAAGCACCCACAGTGAATCGTTTCATCCTTGTTTAACGTAAGTAAACAACAAGGACGTATGATTCACTGTGTTACACTGTGTCTGACTGTGTCCCTTGCTGGAAAGCACCCGATGTTAGCACGCTAACATACTATACTTTACGTCACGTATATTATAGAATTTCAGAGATAAAAGTGCGCTTTTATCGATAAAAGCGCGTTCTGAATACGGGCCATAATTTATGTTACACATACTATAGAATTTTAGAGATAAAAGCGCGTTTTATTCATAAAAGCATGTTCTGAATGCGGGCTCTATAGTATGCGTAACGTAAATTATAGCATGTTAGCGTGTAGTGGGGGTAGAAACACTAGTAGAGTGAGAGGCAGATAAATGGACGAACGTTCTTTCTCTGTTCACTAAGCCTGATTGGAGCAGTACTACAAAGTATCAATCATGAAACTTTTTTTCTAGGACGAAAAGTGAAAAGTGAAAAATTTCTCCATTAACTTCAATGGTTAAAATTTTCACTTTTTATCTTAGGGATAAGGGCCTGCGCACAATAGAGGAACAAGAATTAGATATTAAGATTTCAACCTATCAAAAACCGTGTATTCCGATGTAATCAGTTTCTGATAGGTTAAAATCTTAATATCTAATTCCTGTTCCTCTATTATGCTCAGACCCTTAAGTTTCATGATTGATACCCTGTATGCGATATTTGTCCAAGAATAGGGCCCTTGGGCCTTAATTTTCAATCAGCTCAGCTTTTCCAGATTTTCTATTGAAAGATACGATCCAATACAGTATACGAGCAGCTATTCATGCAGAGATTCATTCGGTAAATTTAGGTCATGCGACCAGCAGATAAGAAAGCAGAGGATGCGCTATCCACTGCATAAACGAATGCATCCATGTTGTCAAAACGTATAAACGTATTGATAATTTATATCAATTTGACAGATACGGGTAATAGAGGTTGGAGTGGGTAATCTGAAATAGAGATTGATATCAAGAAAGACAGAGATCAAGAAAAGTTATGGAAAATTTTAGATATTGATTGTTTCTTGCAAAAGTTTCATTGTGTACAATTAAGAACAAATTTATTATTAACAATTATTCAAGAATATATTTATTCAAACTTGGTGTATATTTATGAATAAAATCATATACAGAAAAATTCATGTTTATAATGACAATTACATGTATATAAAGAAGCGAGACATGTGTCTATAAAGTATATTTAAAAAAACAGTATAAAATATGTTAATTTGTATTTGTAGCAATTGCTTTCTTATTTCTTCATTCCTCTCCATTTCTTGCTCAACGATCAATCAGTTTTTTCTGTCTATCTAATTGTGAATGTATAACATGATCACCCACTCTAATCAACTTTAATCTCTATT